CCTACATAGGTGCTTTACTTTAGACTCATTTAAAACCCTTTTTATAGGTACACACATACTTTAAATTCATACCTTTATAGGTGCTTTACTTTAAATTCATTTAAATACTTTTTTAATAGGTACAAACATATTACACTCTCATACATTCTTAGGTACTTTACTTTAAACTCATTTTAAAAACCTTTCTAAAGGTATATACATAAAGTCTGGCTAATTGGTTCCTACCACAGCCATTCAACTATTTAAAAAAAAGGTATATACATATAATTTACATTCATAACTACAAAGGTACTTTACACTCATTTAAAAACCTTTCTATAGATACATACATACTTTACATTCATACCTACATAGGTACTTTGTTTTAAATTTTATAAAGGGTGATTCAACACCTTCTCAAATACTCTATCCATTTTACTTTTATTTATTTTTTTGTTATCTTGTCGATACCTTTAAACAAGATTATTTCATACTTTACTAACTTATAACTGAAGATGGCAAAATTACTTCAGGTCATGGAGATAGGTCTAAGAAACCGACCTGGCATGTTTTTTCCAGCTGGTCTAGACTGAATCAGATGCCACAACTTCATATCTTTATACATACATACATACACATAAAATTACCTCCCAGCTTACTTAAGTGGAGGAAGGATATTGAAACATTCAACATGTTAAAATATGGAACAAAAATATTTAATTTTAACAATTAGTATCTGGGAACAAAAATCTTAAAAGCCAACTCTGTATGTTTGAATTCTTGAGGCCTTACGCAATCCGCGTCCACTGCATACGTCACAAGTCATGTGAACACTTATTTTTAATACCATTGGGTAAGACGTGTCAGCGCAAGCGACGCTATTTCAACCCGCTTATTTTAGCCCTCGAGCATTAGGTAGGGATGCGCAAATCTTGTAAAACATCGAATACAAACTATCGAAATTGTAAAAAAATCGGAAAAGAAAATATCGTTCATTGAAGAGCAATAAGAAAAGGAATTGAGACCATCAATTGAAAAACAACGCTTAACAAAAAGGAATTTAAACGATCAATTGAAACATCGATGTTAACAAATAACATCGGATTAAAAAAGTCGATGTTAACTAATAACATCGGATAAAAAAACATCGATGTTAACATAGATAATCGAAACCGAAAAATCGATTTTTTTAAACATTGATACATCGTGCGCATCCCTAGCAAAGCTTTAAATACTCTCACACATAACACATCGCTCCACCGTCTCCGGCCTTTCATCCAGTCACTGAGACGTCATACCGCCATCTTACATTTTCTCAAACGATTTCCCTGAAAAACGCCGAAATATTGGCTTAAATGTGATAAATTTTCTACAGTAGTGCAGTATAGGTACTTGAATATTGTATTTCGTTTTGTGATATAACAGTACAAGAATTTCTATTAAATGGTGTTAATTGTTGCTGGCTTTTTATTTATACAGCTACAAGAAAGTAAAATGTACAGGTACGGGGATGCACCAAACCCTGTACTCATAACATCGTACAATAGCAGAATGTAAGAATCTCTGCATTTTTAATTTTTCTTTGGTTTGTTTTCACTTGGAGATATGAGGGTGTAATTTTCAGAATTGCGTGGGAGGAATTGGGGATTTTTCATTTTCACAATTTTCAAAATTGCAAATAAGATGGTTGTTAGGTTAGGTTGTAGACAGGAACTGAAAAAACAATCAGGGAATGCCTAAGGGAAGACCCAGATCAAAGTGGATACAAGTGTTGAAAGAAGATTTACGTAGATCACATATTACAAACTAGAAAAGTAGAACATTATGATAGAAACAACGTGAGGAACATCGTAAATAATATTTTAAAGATTATGTCTGATCCACCCATAAATAAGAATCTAGAATATTTGCGGCTTAATTCCATTAAAAATTTGTAGCCACTATATCAATATTATAATAAATTAATATGAAAATTTCTAGATTACAAACTAATTACGTCAGCAAGATATTTGTTGTCAAATTTGTACATCCCAATAAAGTTGTTACTTTATTTCAAATTCAAACTCATTTTTAGGTTCTTTACTTTTTCCATTGAAGATTAGATTCATTTGTTTCTGTGGTCATCATGTCATTAATGAATAAACGTTTATTAAAGTTCCTTGCAGTTTTTTATTTTAAATATGAACATTGGAAATTTAAAATACCTTAAATTGTCCACTTCAATTGTTGAGCAGTGTACTTTACCTTAATACTTATATAGGTACTCTTGTTTTGCTGCATCAATTATATCAGTCAATTACGATAAATTTTAGAACTACTATTTAAAAATAAGGTTAATAGATTTAATGCACTTTAACTATCCAATTAAGTTCTTATATGTTCACGTTTAAATTGATTATTTAACATTATTAATAGTTATTCCATACTGAAAGTTCAAGACAATAGTAAAATGATTTGTTACGATTTCTTTTTTCTATAAAAATTCATGGGTTGTGTAGTCAATTATTTTGTCTCCAAAGATTACATTTCTAATTTGCTAGTTATATTATATTAATATCTGGTTTGATTATTGCTTTCAGTTAAGAGAAAAGAGTAGGTACATATCTACTGAAATGTGTTCTAAGATTTTGTTTTTGCATTCTATAATACCAAATACTGTTACATCTTCTTTGAGAATTGTTATGTATCAACATATGTAATAAATTTTAAATACCGTATATAAAAGCTGAATTTTTTTAAATTCAAACTCCTGTAATGTATTTTTCTTGTTGTGTGTTTTTACCTTAGATAAAAGAGGCCAGAGATGTAACACACAACAGTGTTAAACCTTGCACGAATGTTGCCAATTTCTAAAGAAAGATTAAAGGTGTGGGGGAACTGGGAGGAGACCCGAACTCTGTGACAGGTACGGACTTTGTTTATTACCATCATAATAAATTATTAGATTTATTAAAACGGTGTTTAATGGAATGTTGTATTATATATAAAATAAACGTGATTTTGCAATATCAAATGCAACGACATTTTATTTATTTATTTATTTGTTACACAACTCATCTGTAATCACTATTTACTGAGTGGGAAAGACAAAACATTAGAATAAAAATAAAAATACAAATATAAATTGTTAAAAAGTAAAATGAATTATTCAAAAATAATGTATTTATTAAAACGCCGATTAACCTTTAAATCGATTTTTCAAAAAAAAAAAACCGAATTATCGATTATTTTAAATAATCAATTACTATCAAATAATCTATTTTTTCGTATTTTCTTTAAAATCGATTATTTGATTATCTTTGAATGTCAAAAATAATAGATTATTCTAAAATAATCGGTAATCGAAAATAATTGATTAATCGAAAATAATCGATTAATTAAGATGCCGATTCAACAATAAACGATTTAAAAAAAAATAACCAAATTATCGATTATTTTTAAATCGATTTTATTTGCTATTTCCTTTAAAATTGATTATTCGATAATCTTTAAAAAATAAAAAATAAAAACGCTTAATTAGAAATTATTTATTTATTAAAAAGCCGATTAACCTTTAAATTGATTTAAAAAAATAACCGAATTATCGATTATTTTAAATAAACGATTACTATGAAATAAATATTTTTTTTCGTATATCCTTTAAAATCAATTATTGGGTTATCTTTAAATATCAAAAAAATTCGATTATTCGAAAATAATCGATTAATCGAAAATAATCGATTAATCGAAAATAATCGATTAATCGAAAATAATCAATTAACTAAGATACCGATTCTACGATAAATCGATTAAAAAAAAATTATCGATTATTTTCAAATCTCTTTTATTTGTTATTTCCTTTATGTTGATTAGTCGATAATCTTTGAAAAAACGAAAATAATCGCTCAATCAAAAATTATTTATTAAAAAGCCTTACATTACATTTAAATCGATTTGAAAAAAAAAATAACCGAATTATCGATTATTTTAAATAATTGATTACTATCAAATAATCTATTTTTTTTGTATTTCCTTTAAAATCGATTATTTGATTATCTTTGAATATCAAAAATAATCGATTATTTGATTATCTTTGAATATCAAAAATAATCGATTATTTGAAAATAAATCATTCAAAAATAATCGATTAATTAAGAAACAGATTCCACGATAAATCGATTTTGCAAAAAAAAACAAATTATCGATTAATTTCAAATAATCTATTTTGTTTGTTATTTCTTTTAAAATTGATTTTTCGATTGTCTTCTAAAAATCGAAAATAATCGAAAAATGGAAAATAATCAATAAATGTATTAAAAAGCCGATTAACCGAAAAATCTGTAATTCTAAATAAATTATTTGAAATATCGATTATATAAAATAATATTATATAAATCGATTATTTTCAAATCTATTTTTTTCGTATTTCCTCTTTGAAATATCGAAAATAATCGATTAATTAAAAATAGGCGATTAAACGTTAAATCGATTTTTCAATAAATATATTTTCTTTTTGCATTTCTTTTGAAATCTATTATGCCATTATCTTTGAAGAAACTAAAAATTTATTGAGAATATTCGAATAATTGGAAATAATCGATGAACTATAATAGATAATCGATTTTCATAAAAAAAAATAAACAAAATAATCGATTATTTTTGTAACCTCTATCGGTCGCTTGCTTTTATCCGAGCAAATTCAGAAATTAGCATTTTTAACTTGAAATTGGATAACTAAAATACTTTAAATTGCTAATAACTAGAACAAATAATTAAAAAAACGGCGGTCCATGATGATTCACTCACGTGGGATGAGCGTAGAATAGAAATTTCGGAGCAATTCGGGTGGCGTCGTGAACACAATTGGTGGGTTACTTAAGATTGGAATAGACAACATACGCTATGTGCAATGTTACATCTCCGGTCTCTTTCATCTAAGGATTTTACAGATTGAATTCACCAAGGGGAGCATGTCTGTGTACCCCCTTATGACCTGTATTCGGCCAAGTGAGTAGAGCAAACTTTTAACATTTAATGCTTACCGCCAGTCTTCCAGGGAATCTTTCTGCAGCATCTTCGTGCATCCAATCACTGAGCAACATTACGTGAGTCGTGAGATCGTAGTCATAAAGGTGACTGTTAGGGTCTTTGGAGGGTGGTTGACGGATAACAATACTACCATACAGACCGTCCATCTTTTGTAAACCTGTGTGAGCATGCCAGAAGTGTGTACCAGCATTACCGGCTACCCATTGATACCTGAAAAATATGTTATTTCAATTAATAAATTAATTAAATGTAGATTTTGGAGAACACAAATTTTATTACAACATATATTTGTTCTATTTTGTGTTCATTGTTTATAAATGACTTACACTGGCAACTTTATATAATTAGTCCGCAATACAATGCAACATTCGTTTTTTTTTATGAACGTTTTGCTTCCTACATTATGTACTAAAGAGGGATGGGTATAAATTTCAATGTTATCCAGTGAGCAGTATCAATTTTCCAAAATTTATAAGGTAAAGTAAGCGTAATTTTTCGCAATAATCAAAAAATTGCACCATAAAACGTCAAAATTAACAATACTGATCAACTAATCATACTAATATTTATTTATTTTTCAGAAAGTTATTGCTTTAATGCTATCGAGTCATTTACTTAATTTATTTTTTAAATATTGAGAGCTCATTAAAAATCGTTAACTAAAAGCTTATTTTTTTATTTAAAAATAATTGTAAGGATAACAAATGTTTGTAATTACTGAAATAAAATAATTTGTTGTTGAAGTAAAGAGTATTCTGTTATCGTGTCCAAATATTCCATAGTAACAGAACTAAAAAATTAGTTTTTGTTATTAAAACTTGAATTTTTTATTGTAACATTTTATTTGTCTAATATTTATTCGACAAATGAAATTTAATGTATATTTAAGTTAATTAAAGAATTTAATAATATTTATATATTCGTAACTGAAAGTAAGTAAGAACTATATTGTAGTCAAATTAGTTTTAGTCAATTAAATGTACAATTGTCACCGATCATTCTTGTTTAAAACAATAATTAATACATATATAATTGTTTTAGAAATTCGTGTTATCTTGGCTCAATTGCATGTTAATTCCTAATAAAACTAACTTCCGTCAAGATAGGTATTTAATTCAGGACTCGAATTATTTTATTACAGTTAATAATTTTTAGAGAGTCACTAGATGACGACCTTCACTCTTGAATATAATAAAAATGTTCAGCTTCATTGAACAATAAATGACCACAGCAAATTATGAAAGGCAAACAAAGGATAATTATAAAAAATAACAAGTTTAGAACAATATTTTATGCGATTGAATTTGAATCATAGAAATTAAAATATGTCATTATAAAACGGTTAAATCCACTGTCAAAATCACAACTTCGACTGTTTCACTGAATAATTTTAAAACAAGTAATTTATTTGTAGTTGTTGTTATAGATATTTTTTAAGGGCTTTAAGATCACCTACCTGTATAAAAAATAGAAGCAATGCTTTTCTGTACTCGTACATCAGGTATAGGTACGATACTATAAATAATACGCAGAAGAACAACTGTTAACAAGTTTTATCATTTTTACTTGATTTCTCTCTCTGAAAACTTTAACATATTAATAAATTATTTATAATTTGTAATAATAATTATTTTTACATCTGTCATAATTTAATTAGCGAAAGTTTTTTTTAATGATCGTACTTTAGTTCAATATTTTCTTTATTAATGTATGATGAACCTCCGATAACAAGTTATTTTAAAATAAAAATTTCTTTGAATAATGTACATTTTAACTAAGATAGGGCAACATTATTTTTAACTTCTCAGGCTGCTCTCTTTCTTGGCAATTTGGACCCGGTAAAATCAGAAGTATATGAAAATGTGCTTAAAATTAATATGTGTAATCAATTTAAAAAAAAACGTAGTTAAAGGACTAAAGTGCATACATTCTGAAAATATTTTCCATTCTAGCTGCGCTCTTAAATGCAGTTGTGAAAATTGTGATAGTGACGACCTAATTAAATGTTGTGAGGTTAGAACCGGCGAAATGGACTCTGATAAGGCCTTTTACGAAGCAATAGAAAGAGACGTATCCGAATTCTGGCACAAATTAAAATTTTACCTGAACAACTTAGGGATTAGTGAATAGTCCGAACTCTGCCATGACCATTAAGGGGCATTAAGTTTTATCCGTATTATAGATTAAGGATTTAAATATTTTTTCATACCTAAAGACCTTTCAGAAGAGGTACAAAAATTAAATAAGTAATTATTAATATATTTTCTCAAAAACAAAATTGATGGAATTCTTGGAATATTTTGACAACTGCTCGGTTTTAATATTTAGGGAAATATTTAGAAGGAGAAATAGATTACTTGTTTCTTAATAAAGGTTTTATGAAACAGTTTATTATCTACCTTAGTTGAGTTAAAATGAATAACAGTGCATCTACCATGTTTAGTGAAAGAGGAAATAAATTAATTGTGTTAAATAATTTTAAGTTTTCCAAAGCTAATACTAGCAAATGTGGAAAGATTCGATGGAAATGCTGTAACGCTAAATGTACAGCTAGAGTGTACTCCCACGTTTCCAATGAAGACGTAATAATAGAGGTCAAAGCAGAACCTAATTATGGTGTTGCAATGAATCTTGCAAGAAATGCAGTGAGCAATAGTTTTAAAAGGAAAGCAACTTGTGATCCAGCTGAGAAACCACCAAAATTAATAATTCGAGAGTTGCAATCAAATAATTTTGCGGAGAACATAAACTCAGAAGATATCAATCAAATAAGAAAAAATATGCATGCGGCAAGAAGAAAAAATCTTGCCAATATTATCTAAAAACCAAGAAGAGATGTTCAATATTGTTCTCGAGTTACATCTGAATACAAATCGCGGGGAAGAATTTCTAATGGTGGCAGAAAAAATAATTGTGTTTTCCTGTTTTTCAAATTTAACATTTTTGTGTCAGTCAGAGTGTATTTTGATGGACGGAACATTCAAATTTTGTACAAATTTCTTTTACCAAATGTTTACGATTCATAGTTTTAAAAATGGTTATTATGTACCGGTTGTTTTTTGTTTATTACCTGATAAATCAAGTGAAACATATTACAATGTATTCCTCCTTTTAAGTAATAAGTGTAAAGCTTTTGGTTTAAATTTTAAACCAATAGATATTGTGGTAGATTTTGAATTAAGTATTTACAACGCAATATATAAATATTTTAGGAGATAGACCAGAGCATACTGGCGTATTCGTTTGCGAAATTGTTTAAATTCGTAATTTTTTTTTTTTAATGTCCGGAAGGCTTTCCTGATTATAAAAGTGTAAGATGATACTCGATATCTGTTGATGTTATTGTTTAAACAACGAAAAATTAATTAAGCCAGAAAAAAATGCATTTTTGGCAATGAATTAATTTTTTTTTATATCTTCTAGGATATTTCGAATAAAAAAAAGTCCTTGCACCCATCATCGTATCTTCAACCCTTTAATTGTTGTGAATGTTTTAAAATTCGAAATTGACGAAAATTCTAATTTTCTTGAATTAAATAATATACCTTAAAATTTAAAATGCTATAATTTTAAATTTTTTACCGAATATTCAAACTATAATAAACAAAATAACCTAAATAAATTTTCAAAATTTTGTTCGTTGTTATGTTATAACAATATGCTTCCTACGCGCGTGTACTTTTAGAGAGAAGTACTTCTATCTCACTTCCAACTCAATGTATAAGATGGGTAAGAGAAAGCCCGATGACGCACTAAGTCAATTTTTTGCTGTTTTTCAGCGGTAATAAGTTTAAAAAAATTATTATTAACATTTTTCATAACACTTTGTTATATTTGCCGATTAATAGTTTTGTATCATGTGATTTTTACAAATGATACATAAATTTCGAAAATTACCAGGATTTTCAGTAGATCATTTTGATTGTCAGAGAACTGATGATGAGCATGATTGACCATTAAAAATGTTTTCTTTATTTAATTCATTATTTCTTGCTTCTGCTTCTTTTTGAAGTGTTTTAATTCTTCGTTTGATATGTTGTTCACTTGTATAAGTATAATAACACTGACGATGCCACGAAAAAGATTGTTCACTAGTATTTTAATTAAACAACAAATTAAATCGCACAGTCACGTTATCGTTTCGACGAAGAGTTGCATTTTTTAATTTTAAATATGTATCAGGTTTCGGACACTTCACTAACGCCTCGTCAGATAATTTAATTTTTTTTTAATTAAAGAGAACATTATTACTCAGAAAATTACACGACTACAAAGTAAACCAATAGATATAGAATCGAGCAAGACTGATTAACAACTGAAAAATAAACGAGCCAAAAATTCTAAGGTAGGGTTGAATTTTCTATTTGGAAGATTTTTTTTTCCTCTATTGGTCTTAACTTATACAAGTTATTTAACCAGGACTAACATTAGTTACATGTAAATAAATACAATAAAATTTAAAACACTATTTGGAAGGCTGTAAAAATTGTTTATGACAGGAAAAAATAGAAGAGTTAAACGTACAATTTTTTCAAAATACGAAATAAGTCCCTTTACCTATTTGTATTCATAGTGCAAAAGATTGAAAATCATAAAAAAATTTCATATTTATAGTACCTACTTACTTTCATATTAGAAATTTTTTTCCTTATTTTTGTTAAATGGAGAAAGGCTTGGATATTTTTGAAATCATAAAATTTCATAACCGCAGTAAGCTTACTATGTTCATTGTAACAGATAGCATTTTTTCACGGATCACGACAAGTGCATTTGACCTTCTTATTGTATTGAAAAAAAAAAGGTTGAAGAAGATTTTACTTCTCAGGCAGTATACGACAATAATTTTTTCATGAATAAAAATAAATGTTAAAAATAAATGTTTCTGTTAACTTTAATAAATAAAAAATTTATCAAAAGTATCTAAAAAAGTAAAAAAAAAATCACATGATACAAAACTATTAAAAGGCAAATATAACAAAGTGTTATGAAAAATGTTAATAATAATTTTTTTAAACTGAAAAAAATTGATTCAGCGCGTCATCGGGCTTTCTCTTACCCATCTTATACATTGAGTTGGAAGTGAGATAGAACTACTTCTCTCTAAAAGTACACGTAGGAAGCATATTGTTATAACGTAAAAAAAACATAACAACGAACAAAATTTTGAAAATTTATTTAGGTTATTTTGTTTATTATAGTTTCAATATTCG